TTGTTATGACAAAGGGGAGTAACCCACTGAAGCCACAAGATTCCAGAGACTTTTGTAACCTGATTTACATTCATTGAATTCTTTCCATTAAACAAAGACTGGTGAGTTAAGTCCCCCCCCCTCCCCAAGGAACATAGGTCCTCCCCTATTATAATCAGTTTTGGACCTTCAACTGCTTATCACTGTACAGCGCTTAAAAATAAGTGGTGTGGGGCACAGGTGTGTGTGTGTTTGTGTGTGTGCGCACTTATTCTTATCCCAAAACCTGCATTCTTGCTTAAAGCACTGCATTTTCTCTGGACTTTTACACTCTTTTGTATTCCATTGAAGCGGATGGGAATGTTCTGCAATTTAGAAGCCATTAGCTCAAAGTAGCTAGAAATTTTTGTCGCTGATGCCTTAAGAACCCCGGAGTTTATGGCCAAAATATAAGAATCAGCCTCCAATACTTAAGAACCACCAACAGGGTTACACTATAACTCTCATTATCTAGTTCAGTGTTTCTCAACCTTGGCAACTTGGAAGATGTCCGGACTTCAACTCCCAGAATTCCCCAGCCAGCATTCGCTGGCTGGGGAATTCTGGGAGTNGTGTGGCAGGCCAAAGATCCTAAAAGGAATATGACTGCAGGCCTGACAGGTGGCCTCTCCTCAAAAGGGAGATGTTTCCTGAAAAGAAAATAACATAAGGGCATGAGGAGGTGGATGGATACACTAACCATTGGGTCGTCTTCAGCCCAAAACGGAGCAAGAAATTGGGCCCAAAATTTCTAGGTCCATTCCCAATAGTGAAGATGACATTATGTAAGGAACGATGTTGCAGTTCTTATGGGAACTGCAAGAAAGATAAATATTATACTTCATCTTCATCTGGTTTCCCTTTATTTTTATCTGTACAATTGTAAAGCTGGGCTAACATATCAATCAGCTTAAAGTCACCCAGTGATTTTCCATGGCTAAAGCTAGCTTTGTACTTGGATCTCCATCATCCTAGTTCAGCATTTTAATCACCGCACGGAAAGAAAGCACAGAACTAAGGCATCCATAGATAAGACACAATGTTTAAAGAGCAAAGTTCTTGGCTTACATTTCCTTGAAAACTCCACACAAGACTGTCTTTGAAGACAATTGGGAAGCTTGAATTGATCCAAAATAGTTTATTTGTCTTGTTTATTTGTCTTGTATGCCGCCCACTCCCGAAGGACTCCGGGCGGCTCACAATAGACAAGGGAAGGGGGATAAATAGACAAAACAACACTTTAAAAATACGCAACATTCAGAGTTTCCGTGGAGAGGGAAAATGCAAGGGCCCCTTTGCAAATGCTGGTAGCAGATTTAGCGGTGTTGTATCCACACTGTCTAGTATCTACACTTAAGATCCTGGTTTGTTTCTAGGTTGAATTAAAAGGCTGGTTATCAACAATCATATCAACCAGATGTCTACAATCTCCTGTGCAGGTATGGCCGGTCCTGTGTGATCTTTGAGGATCAAGGAGAGAAGTAACCTAGAACTAAGGAGGAATTTCCAGACCGTTAGAACAATTAATCAGTGGAACAACCTGCCTCCAGAAGTTGTGAATGCTCCAACACTGGAAGTTTTTAAGAAGAGACTGGATAACCATTTGTCTGAAGTGGTGTAGGGTTTCCTGCCTAAGCAGGGGGTTGGACTAGAAGACCTCCAAGGTCCCTTCCAACTCTGTTATTCTAGATCAACAGAGTTGGAAGGGAC